TTATTTTCAGTGAAGAATTAACCAGGTATAAACTTCCTTTCCCTCCTATCCTGGTGATAGCAAAGGAGAAACATTTAAACAATATATAAATAATTTCATCACTGAAATTAATAAACATTAAGAAAGAGCAGCAGCAAAACTTAACTAAGACAATATAATCTAATTGGTATAAAATGTCTTTTTTTGGAGAGAAGAAAGAGTAGATTAAAAATTAAGATTATGGGTGAAATTTAGAATCAAGAAAGGATTTAACTACAGATGTTCCTGGGTGATGCACAACACAACTTATGCAAATTTGACCTCGTGTAGACTGGTACACATGAGGCAGGCAATCAGATTTGGCAATGTGGGAAACCACATGGAGATGCAAGGAGAAATACCACTAGCGGGTTAATGAACACCAGGAAGCAAAAGCGTCAAGTGCCCTGTGGCCACCAGCAGATGAAGGCTTCAGTTATCTCGCAGGTTCTCACTCCCTCAATGCTGTTTCAGGGTTTTTTATGTTATCCTCTCCCGACTCTCCTTTATGGAGTTCTGACAATGACTAGGAAAGGATCAAGTAATGGCCAGAGTGTAGAACCAATTCACATGCACAGGAACACTTTTTAGATTTAGAGCAAAAATCCAAAGCATCGAAGAAATCTGGCCGAATCCTGTCTTTGACTGCACGTGGACTTGATTTGACTACATCCATCATGAGACTATGTTGAATAAAGGCACTGGCAGAAAGAGCCACCAAAAGGTCCTGCCACCTTCACCCACAAAGATAAAATGAAGCCTGGCTCGAGTGCTATTTTAAAATGGAAAAGTCAATAAAAATATAAAAAGAAAAGAACAAAGCTGGAAAAAAATACATGTAGATTAATGATTTGGTAAAGGTTAGGAAATTTCCTTGAAGATGTAAGTGTGGTTAGACAGGGCATCACAGAAGTTTTAATACTCACACCAATGTTCAAAACAGCAAAGCCTGTGTCAAGCTGCTGGTTTGATAATTAAAAACAGCAGAAATACATCTCAAAGAATTGTAAAAAAAATTATAGAAAAATGTGGTTATATAACAAGCACAATAAATCTTTAATTCTGATGAAACTGGGATTTTTAAGAAAAAAAATTTAAAGTTAGACAAGGCATTTATTTCAAAAGAAGAAAGCATCAGAGTTTAAGCCTGAAAAAGGTATACCAATCCTTTTGCTTGGGAATAACATGGCAGAAGATTCTACGTTGAAATCTTGGCTCATGCATCACACTTAAGACCATGTGCACTTAACATATTTTCAGCTCACACAAAACCTTAATTGTACTGCACCACGAGAAAGAGTTGCTTAAATCAAGGCATCATCTTGGTTAGAATTATTCCGAGAAGTTTCAATTTCATTAGAATTTCCTAGAACCAATATATTGGTATTTAGAGAAATGGATCGTATAATTCAAGTTCACTGGTCATGTTTGCAGATTTTGCTATTGACTACATTGTAGCTACAACTCTTGCTAATGTTCTATGGGCCAAAAATCACTTTGAGACCTGTTGGGACAATGTTGAATACTCAGTGGTCCTTAAATGGCATCAGTGAGAGGTAGCCAGGATGGTCAACAACTCAGTTACTGAAGATAAAGTGAAGTGTGTTACTCAATGATGTGCTGGCGCTGGCCAACTGCCCACATCTTTCCCCACTCTAAGTCTAGAAATATTACCTCGTAGCTTATAATCAGCCTTGGTGGAGGTATTCACACCACCGAAATGAGCAAATCCTATAAATCAGGGCTTTTTCTTTTTCCTTCTGTTTCCAGAGAGTGTTAATTGTTAACTATTTGATTACATTCCTCATCTTTCTGGTTAAAGCTCCTAGGCAGTAAAACCACTGTACAGCCCAAGTATTACTGTCCTCCACATGAACATCCCATGGGCACCTCAAACTGAACAAAACGAGTCCTCCCTCCAACTCTGCCTCGGGGAAAAGCATCACATTTACTGGTCACAAAGTCAGAAACTATCCTCAGTAATTCCCATGTCTCCACCAGATTCCATCTCCTGTTAGTCCCTGAAAGTCTGCCCCATTGAGTCCTCTTCTCCAGCCCTCTTCAGCGTGGTCCTCTTTGTGTCTCCCTGGCCCTGCTAGCAGCCCCTCCACCCTCCACACTACTGCTGGGCTGAACATTGAGCGTCCACCCTCCTACTCTCCGTCAATTGTGGCATAAAGTACAAATTCCTTGGCACACTTAGCATTTGACTCTGGTCCACCCTCTAAGTTCACCTCTTACCGATCATTTCCTCATCGCCAACGGCTCACCGCGTATTGTTTGCTGAGCACACCAGTCTCGCCCTCTGTGCCTCCAATTCATCCTTGAAGACACAGTTGAGGCCTATTCACCCCCATACACCAAACTTTCTCATACGCATGTCTCCAGTCCAGCACTCAACACACCTAGGTTTTAAATGGGCTTAACAGTCTATCTCCTTCTCTAGGCTTTGAGCCCCTTGAAGGTCTTTAATTTTTATATTTCTAGTACCTATTATATTAATAGTTCAGAGCCTGCACAGAAAGGCCACTCCGATTTGCAAAGTAGGACTGGTACCGTTTACCTCAGAAGGTTATTAGAAAGATTAAATGAGGTGTCTGCAAAGTATCTGCAGCCTAACACATGGTACAGAATCCTGATTCACTTGCCCTGGAAAAAAGCTCCAACTGAAGAACTGTGCCTCCATCATAATATTATACATCCATTTAGCAATCTGTAATTTACAAACTTCATCCATCATCCAAATGCAGAGTACGAAGGAAACTAATAAAAATGTGTTTTCAATTAACTGTATCTTTGAATTCAAAGGGTCCCCCCCGCTCCCCCCCACCCCCCGGCAGTTTCCTTTCCCTGGTTATGCATTTATTTACCCGTGAGAAGGTAAACGGGCATGATGGGATCAGTTCAGCTGACCTTTAAAATTAAGACTTAGCCAGGGGCCGGGCGCGGTGGCTCACGCCTGTAATTCTAGCTCTCTGGGAGGCCGAGGCGGGCGGAGTGTTTGAGCTCAGGAGTTCGAAACCAGCCTGAGCAAGAGCGAGACCCCGTCTCTACTAAAAATATAAAGAAATTAATTGGACAACTA